AAAAACTACATTAAATATTTTAATTCACAGGTTTGTCCTTTCAAACAAGGCAGTTACTTTATTTTCCTTCTTTCTCTAAGTCATTTATGCAGTAGAGGCTGAATTTCATTCAGCTTATTCTACGTGCCCAAATCTTCCCCCATGAATAAAGATATTATACAGCCAATATTATTTTATTATATAGTCAGCTTCCTTAACAAGGAGCATGCAATTTTAAACTCATTATGGAATTTTCAGTAAGCAGGTTTCAGTAAATGCGGTTTGCAACCAAATGACCAATTTCCTGGTACAAGGAGCTAATTTCTGATACTTCAAGATAATCAAGACTTTCTAATAACTTGCCTTCACAATTCACTTCAGGGATGAAAACAAATTTAGCAGTTTCATAATATAGGTAAAGAATTCCTAACAAAAAATAAGGCTTAATGGACTCTACAGACAAACTAGATCACAACTTCTCATGACAAGTTTATTCCACTACACTAAACAATATGAACAGGCATATTCAGCTTCCCAAGACCTTCCATTAGAGAGCAAGTGTCAATATATTATGCACAGTCCCAGTTTTTTATTGTACCATGGAAGTTAGTAAGCAAGAATATATAGTTTGTAAGACTTAAGCAACAAAGTAAAAAATCAGGAACATGAGGCAGAGAAAAATATTCTTGACCCCTGCATATAGAGCAAAGAACTACTCCACATTACACTGGTTCTCGTGATTCTTTGCAAGTTGCATCCCTTCTATTTTCATGACAGCATTTCATCTCCTTCCTTGCTTTGTGAGCCAACTTGCTAAACACCCTGCAATGAATGAAAGGCCTAGCACAAAACCATACACAGCTTTACCATCCATGAGGAAAATGAGAACAATGCTTCCCACCCCGAACTCTCAAATTTCGCTATCCTTCCAATGGAAATGAGTTCATATTCTATTTAATAGAGTACATTCCATCAAAATGCCAAATCAGAAATTAAGGGAAAAACATTTTCAGGATATGGAACCAAATTTTAAGGAGTACTCATTCCTACCAGATTTCAACCTGCTGCTAAACCTTTGACTCTTGTAGCAAAGTAACAATGCTCTTCTAGAATTCAGCTACAACATAAGACAACTTTTCCTGGTGTATTTGGTATTTTACATTTTAATCTATGAGCATAGATTGCACGACTATACCTCCTAGAGTAAAAATTTAAATAAATGTCAAGATGCATGTTAAAAAAATATGTGCAAGGTTTAGTAAGAAACATGAATGTATTCTGAAAGTGTTCTCCTCTGTACCTGATTTATATAAGTCTACAGTTCTTCTAAACTAAGAACATAAAAAGGTATGCTATATTGTTGACTACAGAATACTGCAAAGTTTTATTGCCATTTAAACAAAGAAGCCATAACAGTTAAATGAGCTCAGGCAATAGGTTTCAGCATCAAAAGGTGCCAGCTGTAAAGAGTTATGGCTAATTGAATATGGAACTCCTGCTTAATCAGATAACTGCTCTGCTATTTCCAAATGAAATGCCATTTCCATACTGTCTGAAAATGGCCTATTTTATTGGTAACCAGAGAAAACAATATAAACTGTAAATAACATTAAGTGCTCTGTTTACCCATTCCAGGCCCTGAAGTAGCAGGGGATCCAGGGTGTCTTGGTAAAACATTTGATTGCAAGGTTGGCACAACGGTTCTTTCCAGGGGTCCACTCGGAGCTGACGTGTCTCTCTGCAGATTAGGAGATCCTGGAACTGGTGACTTTGGAGAGCCTTGTTTAGAAGCCACTGGTGGGGGTGTAGAAGCATTTCTTTGAGCTGCAGTCCTCTGACGAATTTCTGACAAGAAGATGTGCATACTGATTTTAATATTTAGTGTTACAAACAAGATATCAGTACAAGTACATTCATATTGTTATTCCAAGCAGCAAATTACAGAGTCAAACAAAACCAGAAAGGTCTGTAACTGAAGATCACCAGCCACCTGGCTGAGCATGCCATAGAAATAAATACCACACAGAACGCTATTTTAATAGCAATAATCATTAACTGTTAAATATTTTGGGCAAAATTCTTCTAGAAGGAAATTAGCATATACCTTATGATTCTGTTCTTTAAGGCGGAATGCTGGAGATATGAACAGCAAGACTCAAACCACAATATACAAAACTGACCACTCTGTAGTTTAAACATGATTCCAAGTATTCAGCTTTCCATGGAACCAAAATATTCAGTCAATATCTAAAATACCCAGGCTAAATGCCAAGAGCTATTTTAAAAAAAATCATACTGGAAAAATGAAACAATTCTAAAACCCAAATAACATCATATGACTTCATTCACTTCTTTCAGCAACCCTACCATCAAACCCGGTGCTCAGATTGTCACAAAGCAAAAACAGGCTCTGCTGGAACATGTCCTTACTTCTACATCTTCTCACATCACTATCAGAGTTACTGTTAAATCACTATTATTAAACACTTAATAGATTTCCTCAGTTGTTCTTACCTGAAGCCAGAGTTCTCATTAACACCAATGGGAACATCACAGTAATAATGTATTATGGTTTAGGTATTACAGCAGTCATACAAACCTGAATGAAGTTCATACACTATTGAAACAAATCAAATGAAATAGTGGCTTTAAGGCTGCAGACATTAAGGTAGTTAAAAAGTAGCAGCTTAGTCTCTGAAACTAACATCCCCAGAACACCCACACCTAAGGCTTACAGCATCACACAGAGTTAGTGTATAGAACCCACTTCAGTGTGAACTTCCTTGACAACCAACGGAATTTGACATTACATTCGGACTTTAAAATCATCTCCATGAGTTTCAAGATTAGAGACATTTTATCTGCTGACTTTGTATCAGGCTAGAAGTTTAAATGCTTAGCAGGCAGTTTACAGGTCCACTGGCAACCAGCCACTAGAAAACAGTTGTGCTGAGTCTGAAGGAATGATCCCTGTTCCCTGAAAGTACAATACTACCATGGGTAAGCTTCTGCTTTGGCTGGAGAAGGCAGGAAGTGTGCAACATCAGACTGCACTAGCTAAGAAAGAGTTGCTATCACTGAAGTACTAGGTCAAACATAAAAGTTCTGTTGGACAACAGTCAACATTTAGTGCCATGAAAATGGCAACATACATAGGTTATGGTCGTGCCTACTTATCCATACATATAAATAGGATTAATACACAATAGAAGAATTTAAAATTCTTTGGTATCACTAGTTAAAAGACTACAAGTGCTCAAATTCTTACTAAAAATCCACTCCATTCAGAGCAGATTTACTAGTTTTCCCCTGCCACACTTTCATGTGTCTGACTGCATTATTTCACACTTCATCCTCCAAGTTAGATCACCCAATGAGTATGAAGGTTCTGTACTTTAACTTGATTTTAAGAAGTAAAGTTTGTCCCCTCACTATTTAAGCTGTTCAGAACCCAGAAACCAGGATAAATTGGTGATGTACTTACCAAAATTCCATTAAGGTTTCCTTGGTGACTTGCTTCTATTTTGAAAACTACTCTGGTGCTGAGAGTTTCATCTTAATTAAGAATTCATTTATGATGAACCTCACCACTAACATGTCTTGGAGAGCTTTTTGTGAGAGACACGAGTAGCAAACTTTCAAGTTTAACGACACTAAAATAAGTGCATCATCCTCTCTCTGCCATCTGATCAACAGGCATGACTCATCTTCAAGCAATATATCTATTATGACCCATGATTTATTTACCAATTATAGTCAAGTTTGTGTTCTAGTTTCCACTTATGTACTCTTTTCAAAAAATTAAGCTAAAGGTATTCATTTCTCAACTCTTCTCAGCTCCACAGATGTTCAAAAAATGAATGGTAAATATGAAGCCTAATTCCACTTGTTCTGAGATCATTTTAAATACCTATAAAAAAGATATTTTAACACATTCTTTTCTTCATTGCAAAGCCTGCTTGATTATGGTTTTACATATAAAAATGTCAAAGATCACAACTGTAATTTCTACATATGGATGTTGCTGTTATGTTTTGAAGGCTGTCTTCCTAGATCATATGGTTTAAGCGAATTAATTCTGACTGCTTAACAGCTCTGAGTCTGTTTCAATAGGTCACAGCTACATTCACATTTATTCAGAGCCCATAATATATTATTCCTATGCAATTTTCATACCACCTATGAGAACTTTGCCCCTTTTGCCTGTTCTTTCTGAAGGGTCATTTTAGGCAAGTCTTCTTTAAATTACTTTCAATTTTTAAAAAGTTAATGCTACTTTAGTGACTCT